AACAAAGTGCTTTACAAATAAAAAAAACAGGTTTTTATGCAACTGTATCTATAAAAAAACATGGTCGAGTACCACTGAAAGGTATTGAGGTTTTCATTAAGTAAATACCAAAACTTTCCTTGAGTAAACTTTCCAGTTATGTTTGACCACGGATGTTTCAGTGAGCTGAAATGTGATGTTTTAGATTCGAATGGAGAGCAATGGTTGCACAGAGGAATGTCATCGGCTTCACATAATGTAACACTGCCACCAAGTGGTGATTGCGTGGAAGGGACGCGATGGGGATGACTGAGTTTGTCTCAAACCTTCTTCTTCCTCCGTGTGGCAGGTCTGTTGGGGATGGTGGCGCACATGATGTTCACCACTGCTTTCCAGCTGACAGTCAGTCTGGGCCCAGAGGACTGGAAGCCTCAGACGTGGGACTACAGCTGGTCGTACATGTGAGTTTATGAAGAGTATGCAACAGTTATTAGATGCATAAAGAAACCAGTGGTACCAGGAGAGGAATGTTTAATTATCATCTGAAAACAGATACACATTAGATAGGTCATACTATTTTATCTCAGGTTGCATTTTAAAAACTGACTTGGGACCACAGATAAAAAAAACTGCTTATACATCTTTTTCTTGTTCATTTACAGTATTTTGTCTGTTAATTAAATGAGCAATTTCCCTATCAAATAACAAACTAATGAAAATATGAATAATATATTAGTTTGAATGAAGAGGTTGACACTATTTGTCTCTTTTCTTTAGTCTGGCATGGAGTTCCTTCACAGCCTGCATGGCGTCCTCGGTCACCACGATCAACCGCTACACTAAAACCATCCTGGAGTTCAAGCACAAGCGCAGAAACATCGAGAAGAACCTGAAGATCAAGCAGAAGCTGTTGGAGTTGGACTCTCCGGAGCAGGTGTGGGACATGTATATCAGCTCGGTGCCGAGCACCGCCGAGGAGCTGCTGGACCTGTCGTCCAACGGACGCAAACTCTCCGACACCTCCATCTTCCTGGACCTCAACGACCTGCCCGACCCACATGGAGAAGAGTACTGCTAGAGAGGAAAGTCGTAGCAATGTCACACAACTGTGTGTCATTGTCGTGTTCAATCTGATACAGAGATATTCACTGTAAACAGAGTGAGACCACAGTTGCAAGTTTTTTGGCCATTTGGTGATAATAGTCCACAACAAGTGGAAAATATAATACACACACGTGACATATATGACATTATGATCTTATAAATTGAATAGGCTATAGATAACTTGCTAGATGCTAGCTATTTAAAACTGATGTAAATATAAAGTGTTTAAATATAAAGGGGTTCGAGGGTAAAGAAAACAACAATTTGTACGATTTAGATGATTACGCACTAGTGAAAACATCACTAGGATTATTTTATATCCAATTTCTGCCAATAGATCTCCTTCACTGGACCTTTAAGTAGGCTATCTATTTTAACATTGTTGCCAATTTCAACATTCTGCAGACAGAGCAGCACTAGCATTCATTTGGAGTCATGTTTCTGGCAACCTGGCAAATATAAGTCCAGTATTCGTTCTTTAGACTCTGTTTTGTCCACACTAACTTGTGAGCTAGTTGCTCTTTATTGAGAAGAAAACAAAAGATTAGCAGGGTGTGGAACAAATCAATAAAATTGTCGGCCATAAAATCAAACAATAAGTTGAAAAACACTAAAAAGCTTTGCAGAGTTGAAGGGAAACTGCACTCTGGGTTCATCGTTGCGAGCCAGCCGCTTTGACATTTGGTATGAAATAGTGATGAGCGCATTTTGGCTTTCTTCTCTATCCCTGAAGCCATGTAACGTCTTTGATCAGTCAGGGCTGTAGCTACCACTGGATTTGGGGGAAGCAGACATTTTAGCCACCTGCTACAAAATGTGGAGTTAAATTAGTAGTTCTCAATAGTCATAACATGACAATAGACATTTATTTAGATTAGGAGTTGAAAACTTGATCATGAGTATATTCAATAAATAAAATACTGTTAGTATAGTCAGTCTATAATCAGTATAGTTTTAAGGCAGTGGCTCCCAATCCTTATATTGACAACGCTGCTGTGGACTAGCTTATATTGGTGCTGTATCATAACAGAAATAATGTTAGAATTTAAGTACGTTCAATATTTGACTATTAGAGCACAAACACTCTCAACCCCAAACCTTTTGGTTTTTTAATCGCATGACCTTCGGTAGCTATTATACAACAGCAATTAGCTAATTGGGTCCTTGCTATCACAGATGCTAACATACATAACAGTCTGATTACAGGCTAATAACCTGCCACAGTTCAAGGTCAGTTTCCTATTGTGATATTGTGATAATTACCTCAAAGTTATTTTGGCCAAATCATGCTTTTTTCTAGTGTATACTCTATGGCTCAGTTTCTGCCAGAGGGTTAGCTACTAGCAAATTTTCTTTCCAAGCATGAATTGTTTTCCAGCAGCCTTAAACTCGCTCTATCATTTGCATCTACAGTAAACATCTCCGTCTCCGCTGTTACAAAGCGGAAATGCAAATTTATCACCAAATTCTCTCGTCTTGTGTTAACTCTAAGGTGATTGTTAGTAGTCATCTCAGTGACGGTCTCAGTTTTTTACTGTGACTATAATGTCTCAGAGTTGATGTTGTGATGATGTGTTGATGCTGAAACGCTACATGTAGCACCTTTGAGAACTAGTGCTGAAGGGTTCCCACTTAGCTGAACCATGTTATATGAGCCCTCCTATTTGGCACTACAGTGGTGTCAATAGGTCTTAACTTACGATATACCTCTACACAAGTGATACTGCTGTGAAGGGTCACTGCGGAAACCCTGTGAGTCAAAAGGAGAATGAAGCTGAGGATCGGACCAGCGAACTAACAGAGAATGAAGATGAAGCTCTGTGGAGAGGACAATGGCCTGATCAACTATAGCACACTCCGGCTCTCAAGCCTCTTGGTTCACTGCCTGTTGGATTTTATCCATTAAGGAAAATGTACAAATTTGTTAAAGCTGTGTGTGACTTGCTGTAAACACATACAGTAGATGGACAGCCCAATGATGAGGAGCTCATACTGCTTCTAATGGTACTCATACTTTATATTGAATTGATGACGTACTGCCTCCGATGTGTGAACCAAATAGAATAAGGTCACACCTAGTCCGAATTTGTGTCCTGATCTGTGACAGAGTTCAATGTTTGTTTTGTCTCGCTATGGACGAAGTGTTTCACAGAGCACAGTGGGGACCTGAGGATTGTAGTTCCATCCACAGAGGAGTACAAGATGTTGTCAGAGTGTAAAGGATGATGGTTGTGTGGGTAGAAGATGCCTATTGGCGATGCTGAGTGCCTTTACTTCCAGCAGCATGCCTCTGATCAGACAGCATGCTCTGCTCACGACGTTTTAACAAAGACAATGCTGTTTCTCCAGCTAATAACTGCTTCAGTGGAAACATGTAGATGTCTGTGCAAACTGCCAAAACCTGTCAGTGAGAGGAGCACTCCTCTTTTGAATCTTGCAGTGTTAATATTTACTTGACAGTGGGTACTTTCTTATTTATTCACAGCACTGTATTAACTGAGAGACTCAGAATGAGATTGTGGTTAAACAATTTACTTTTAAGTGCATTTGAAAATGTGACCTATGTTTGTGTTTTTTATTTATGTGGTCATTTAACAATGTACTGTAGAAAACTTTCAGTTGAACTCTGGTTCATTTTAAACTCAGACTCATCACCCTGGGTGGCCGTGAACACAAGCATGAATTGTTGTCTTTCTGTTTTTGTCAGACTTCTTAACAGTGGCACTTTTTGTGTAGTGTTACATTTTTGTGGATAATTATTTGCAACCTAATATATTGATATTGACAACTTTATATGAGAATATTTAATTTAAAGTTAAATAACTATCATAATAAACCAACATGTTTTTACTATGTTTTCTGCTTTATATTCTCCAAAATGTTTCGTTATTGACCACAAGAGGGCCCTGTTTTCTTACTGTTACTGGCAATGACTGAGGTGTCTTATGTCTCTCAGCTACACTCTCACAGGACTGGAAATATCACACTGTGGTCTTTCACAGATTTTCTTTTATTTTTGTATTTTTTTATAGAATGTTCAAATCTAAATTACCCATAAAACCCAACAGTATAGCGAAACTCAGGAATGCTATTAGTAAGTTAATGTCGTTATTCACATTATTGGACCCCTGGACTGCTGTATCTTATTTACAATGGATTAAGTAGCCACCCCCATTAATGATGTAAAATAAGAAAGAAAATTCAAACATATTAATATTATATTATATTAATATGATCATACAAACAAGCATTTTGTAGTAAACATTGAGGGAAAGGAACTGTGAGAAAGAAAGGTCTATGCTTAAAAATACTTTTATTTTTGAATACTTTCAAACTAGTGCAAATACATGCAAACTGAAAACAGACAACCCTGTAAACTGGCCCTCACAGTAACACACTAAAGCGTCGCATATCACATCCAGAGAAATGGCCATTGACAGGTCGACCCTCTCCCGCTGATTTGACCTGCTCTTGTTTTGGTTGTCCTCCAGTGATCCCTTTACCGCACACGGAGTACAGTGGGGCGGTTTTGCAGTCAGAATCCTAACCCGAGCCTCGGCACATGAATGTGCCAAACGGCGAAGAGGCAAGTCATCCACACCATTTCCCCTACATCCATTTATCCACATTCATTATTCAGGAATACAAAACCACTCAGTCAAATCTGAGCTCATATAAAGATTCTCTCGCTCACCCCTCTGCTGCTCACCACATAAAAGATTCATCCCCGCTTTTTCGGGAACAACGCTTGGAGGACGATACTCAATATGTATGCATTGATTGCTCTTAAATTCTTAACCAGTGAGACTGAAGAACAAACACTGAGAAAAAGAAAGTTGTGGGAATTCAGGAATGTGGAACGAAGCATTGTCTGCTCTGGGTTTGTTTTGCCACTACAGCCTACCAACTACAGGATTAAACTGCAGACCAGATATGCTAAAAGCTACACTGTGTATTTCACCAACCAACTTTATATAGCTGTTACCCATAGCAACCACAACGTCATGACCAACTTGCACATAGATGCTTTATTTGACCATCTGGGGTGGAAAACTGAGAAAGGAGATCCTTGTTACGTACCACAAACTCTTAGTGCAATCACGTCTTTTACTGAACATCTATGATATTTAAAATGACGCTCAAACACTTGCACAAAACAATTGATTGGTAGAGGTGAAGTGTCTTTACACCAGGTTTTTCTCATCATCAGAGATGCAGCTCTGCTGGTCAGAGGCGGTAACTTCATGTGTTTTCTGAATCTTTTGTTCTCTGAGTCTTTGCATCTGTGTCAGTCAGATGGAAGATTCACACTTCTACCCAAAAAAGTGCAAAAGCCACTGGTGCCAAACTATCAAAGGGTCACTGCCATCCAAAGTCTTGTCCAGCCATCTGATAGAAGCGCTGGTTATGTGGCTTGTAGAAATCCCTCAGTCTCTGCAAAACCTCCGGGTCGATGGAGGCGTGCGTCCTCCCTTTCGTCTTCCCCAGGCAGTGAGGTTTGCTGCTGCCCTCCGGCTTCTTCAGGCAGGGGAAGCCTTTCGTTTTGTTGAAGTAGAAGTGTTTGTCTGTGACAATCCTCTGGAGGCCCAGAAAGTCCTGCACTTTGCCCACTTCTCCGGCGGGGTCGGAGATGAGCCTCTCCCCACTGACCAGATGGATCTGGGTCCTGGGGAACCAGGCCAGCCAACGCTCCAGGTGCTGGGCGTACAGGCCGATCCACAGCGGGCTCCACAGAGAGTCGATCTGACCTAGAGACAAAAAAAAGACATATCTCAAAGCCTTTAATTAAAAACCATCATTGCCAGTGTCACTGTTGTCTCAGGTCCCATCTAACTTATATATTGGAGCTATTATTCTTTGGCAATTGGCTGAGACCAGTGGTTTTCAGAGCTTAACACTGGCGATGCTCCAAAACCTGAGACATGACAAATAAGAACTTCACTAAGACATTCTGAGGGTCAGTCAGATATTTATA